AAGCTTAAGATCAGTCTTACGCTACATAGCAAGACCCCATTTCAAAAAAAAAGTTTAAGAGAGAAGAAGACATTGGTAGGCATTAAAAGAGTTCTATGCAAATACAGTATTATGAGCCAGTAATGTTACATTTATGTGAACCAATAATACTGTATATTTCAATATACTTGACATCTTAGATGAAGTAGATCAATTCCTTGATAGACTGCCAAACTGGCTTAAGAAAAAGTAGACAATTTAAATACAGCAGTTCCGTATCCATTAAAAGTTAAATGTATAATTAAATTCTTCCCAAAGATAAATCTTCAAGCCTTGAATGGCTTTACTAAATTTTACCAAATATCAATGAAGATATAATCAGTTCTTCACAAATTATTTCAGAAAAAAAGAGTAAAGAGCCTATATTATAAGGGTGACATTGTATACTATAACTAGACAAAGCCATTTGGAAGAGAAAAATACTAACCACTAATATACTAATATTTCTCCTGAACACAGATACAAATATTCTTTTAAAAATTAGCAAAAACAAGGCCAGGGGTTTAGCTCAGTGGCATAAGCGCCTTCCTTTTATATGCGAGGTTGTGAGTTCAATCCTTGTTACCAAAAATTAAAGGAATAATAACAATACAGTATAAACAAGCCTTAATCCAGCTTCAGTAGTTATCAAAATTCAGCTAAACTTGTTTCTTTAATATCCCCACCACCACCCTGTATTTCAATTATTTTAAAGCAAGTACTGTCAGATGTAGTGGTGCCTACCAATAATCTCAGCATTCTGGGAAGCTGGGGCAGAAAGATCATAAATTCAAACCCAGTCTGGATTATTCAGTGATTTAACAAGATCTTGTCTCAAAATAAAAAACAGGACTAGGAATGTAGCTCGGTCTGAGGTCCTGGGGGTGAGGAAAGCAAACACTATGCATTATATTAGTTTATCAGCAAGTATGTCTTTAAAGGAGGAAAAGTTTTTCTCTACTTTTACTTATTTTAATTAATTCATTTGTTTTTATTTACTTATCTTTTATCTTTTTGAGACATTATGCAGTTCAGGCTGGCCTTGAGCTCACTTTGTAGCCCAGGCTGGTCTCAAACTCTCAACAATCCTCCTGCTTCAGCCCCTTCAGTTCTGGGATTACAGGCATGTGCCACCATGCCATGCTTTTCTCACTTTATTTATTTATTGGTACTGGGAATTGAACTCAGGACCTCACACCTGCCAGGCAGGTGCTGTGCCACTGAGTTATATACCCAGCCCTCTCCATTTTTAATATAACCAAAAAACAATTATCAGAAGTAAAGTTTCTCAGCAAGTCAATATCAGCAAATATTCAATCAGTATTCAAATTTTCCTGTCATATATATGCTGTGCATGTCTTGTATTTGTGTATACATGTATGTTTAACCACACCTCCAAGCTGTATTTCGTGTCTCTCAAGTCTTGTCAGAAAAAAACAACCTTCTGTAGGCAAAATTTATAATCAGTGACGTGTACAATCTGATGGGTTTTGAGTAGACTTTTTTAAAAGAGAAGATAGTTCTCTATTTTCTATCCAAAAGAGATGCATGGCCCTGTCCTCTTTAACACGTTCCTTTCTTTTACCACCCACTCACCTTTTTTTTCCCAGTCAGATTTTATGGGTACATTTTCGGTATACATAATGATCACGTTCATCATAGAGAATTTGTACCTGTACATGATATTACTTGTTTCTTTTTTGTCATTCACCTATCCTCCTTTCAATCTGTCATCTACTCTGATTTACAAAAACTTTGCTTCCATGTTTTCTTTTTTGTTGTTAACTTTTCCCTTCCCCCACCCCCATTTGAACATTTTCTACCTATTTCACAGTACCTATTATACATTTTGATCCTTATTTACACTTTCAGTTTCTTACACCAGAGAAACAACGTAGTATTTACATGTGTGTCCATTTGATTTCACTTAAGAGACTGGTCTTAAAGTGCATTAAATATAATAGGAAAGTTTCACCTTATAAAAGAATATAAGAGCCGGGTGTGATGGCTCATGCCTATAATCCCAGCACTCGGGAGGCTGAGGCAGGAGTATCATTGCGAGTTTGACATCAGCCTGGGCTACAAAGTGAGCTTGAGGCCAGCCTGAACTGCATAGTGAGACTCTGTCTCAAAAAAGACAAAAAAAGAAAGAATAAAAAAAAAATCTATGATTAAGAATGTAAAAATGGTTGGGCATGGTGAGCTGTAATCTTACCATTCAGGAGGCTGAGGCAGGAGGATCTCCATGAGTTTGAGACCAGCCTGGGATACATAAGCAAGCTCAAAGCCAGCCTGCACTATATAATAAGATCTTGTTTTATTTAAAATAATATAAAGAAGGTGGGGGAGTGTAGTTCAGTGGTTGAGTGTGTCCTTAGCATGTCCAAGGTCCCAGATTCAATTCCCAGGGCATGCTTATATAAGCATACACAATGTAAAACTGTTTTTGTTTGTGGAAGTCCGGATGGTATACATTGAAATTTCTAACGGACATGGTGGGGAGAGGTACTAAAATCAGTAAGCTATTTTATTTTTTGTTTGCTTTGTTTTGTTTTTGTCTTTTTGAGACAGGCTCTCCCTATGCAATTCAGGCTGGCCTTGAGCTCACTTTGTATTCCAGGCTGGTCTCGTAACTGCAACAATTTTCCTGCCTTAGTCTCCAAGTAAGCTATTTTAATATGATTGCAGGATTCAAAATAAAATTACCTATTGGCAGGTTAAGGGTTTGACTCAGTGGTAGAATGTTTGCCAGAATGTACAAGGCCCCGATTTCAAAATTCAGCATTGCAAAAGCAAAACAAAACTTAGAAACTATACAAACACAGAAAAACAAATTAATTGTTGGCCTGGCTAGGGATTTAATTCAGTGGTAGAGCATTTATGTAGGATGTGAGAAGCACTAGGTTTGATATCCAACACTGAAAAAAATTATTTTCCTAGGTCTAAGCAACTAATAGTTGGAAAATGAAAATTCAAAATATTACTAGAAATAGCATAAAAAGTGTGAAATGTTTAGTAATACATAATAAAATATATGTAATGTCCATGTAGTAAAAACTAACAATATTACTAAGAGAAAAAAAATTTTTGGTCTTTTTGAGACAGTTCAGGCTGGCCTTGAACTCACTTTGTAGCCCAGACTGGCCATCCTCCTATCACACTCATCAGTGCTTGGGATTACAGGCATGTGACACTATACCTGGTACTAAAAGTAATTTTAAAAGTTATAAATGTAGCTCAGCAGCTGCCTGACAAGCTCAAGGCCCTGAGTTCAATTCCCAGTATCAAAAAAAGAAAAAAAGCTATATATATATACATATATACCATGTTTATGGATCAAAGCATTTAGTGTTGTTAAATGTTAATTTTACCTGAGTCATATCTAAAGATAATAGTTATCAAATTGTTAACAGATTTTTAAATTAGAAATTAGGTAAAGGTAAGAATGGTACATTCTTGTAGTCCTGGCTACTCAGAAGGCTGAGGTAGCAATATTGCAATTTTGAGGTCAGGTTGAACAATTTAGTGAGATCTTGTCTCAAAATAAAAAAGGACTAAGAATATAACTCAGTGGCAAATGTGAAGGGTTGTATTCAAACCCCAACACTGCAAAAATGAATAAAATTTGCTCAGCATGATGGTGTACAAGTATAATTCTAGCACTTGGTAGGCTGAGGCAGAAGGATCCAGGAGTTCGAGGTCAACCTGGGCTACATAAGTGAGTTCAAGGACAGCCTGCACTAAAACGGGGGACCCTATCTCAAAAAAAAAAGAAAAGAGAGAGAGACAGAGACAGAAACAGAGACAGAGACAGAGAGAGACACACACAGAGAGAGAAGTATGAAAATAAAGCCCAAGCTTCCAATTGTGGCTCACCCACTTGAAGTGATTATTAGTTCATTAACTCTTTCCTTCATTCGTTTACTAAAATCTTTATTGAACTGCTAGACATTCAAGCTTTGTGGAAGGGAGAATGCAAAGGTGAATAAATCATCATGTTTGTTGTTTAAGGCCTTCAGACTGAGGAGTGGGGGAGAGACAGAAATTTGTATCACTGTGCTGGGGATTTTGCTCAGTGCCTTAAGTGCCTACCTGACAAGTGTGAGATTGTGAGGTTGTTTGATTTCTAGTACTAAAAAAAAACAAAAAGAAGCCTCATAAATGGGATTACTAAGTTAAAGAATATATATATATATATATATGAAAAAAATACGTTTATTATGTATAAAAGTAAATTTTTAAATTTATTTTTGGTGTGTGTGTGGTTTTTTTTTTTGTTTGTTTTTGTTTTTCTTTCTCGTTACCAGGGATCAAACCCAGGACTGCCTGCTTGTGAGGCAGGCGTTTATGCCGCTGAGCTAAATCCCCAGCCCCAGTTTTTGGTTTTTTGAGACAGCCTAGCCTTGAATTCACGCTGTACCCCAGGCTGGCCTCGAACTTGCAGTGCTCCTCTTGTCTCAGCCTCCCAGGTGCTGGAATTGCAGGTATGTGGCACCACACCCCCTGAATACATGTATTCTTTATGCTTTTTTTTTTTTTTTTTTTTTTTTTTTTTTTTGTCTTTTTCGGTACCGGGGATCGAACTCACGACTGCCTGCGTGCAAGGCAGGCACTTATGCCGCTGAACTAAATTCCCAGCCTTTTTTTTTTTTTTTTTTTTTGAGACAGGTCTCACAATATAGTTCTGGCTGGCCTCGAAACTTACATTTTACGTCATTTAGAAATATGACTCAAATTAGTTTTTAAAACGTGTCCTTCAACTACACAGCTACTTTGCATTCAATCCATTTAGCCATGTTATAAGGAATTTTCGTAATTGATTGTCTTCATTTTTTTGCCATGTTTGAATGCTTGCATGTTTTTCCTTTTTGAGCAGCATAACTGTGAGAGCCAGCCACGTGAACTAGGACAGTGCCGACTGCCGACTACATCTCCCAATGTGCTCCGCGGCCACGCAGACAGGAAGTGTCCGCAGCATCTCCCGCCTCCACGCCGAGGCGAAGAGGTTCTATCCGGGGCCTTGGCGCTTCTCTTTCCTTTCGCGCCGGTAGCCGCTGCGGAGTGCGGCGGGTCCATGTGCGCAGTGACTGGCGCTATTTCTAGCCCACTAGTACCCGTGCCCCGGGTTTGACCGAGTCCGCGCCGCGATGGACCCTAACACCATTATCGAGGCCCTGCGGGGCACCATGGACCCAGCCCTGCGCGAGGCCGCAGAGCGCCAGCTCAATGAAGTAAGAACGCTCCAGGTGGCGGCGGCGGCGGCGGCGGCAGGCGGGAGGGATGTGGCAGGCCGAGTCCTCTCGGCGTGGCCAGAGTCGTGGACTGGCTTCGCCAGAGGGCCCTGTTGAACGGGTGGGGCGGAGACCTGACGGCCGTGCCACGCCGGGGCGCCTCGGTGTGGCGTGGTTGTGGTGGCTGCCGCAAAGGCTTCCTTTGCGTCGTGTCCTGAGCTGGGCCTCTGCCCGGTCGGGGCGAGGCAGGCGTAACGGGCTGGACACATGGTCGGCTCGGGTGGCCTGCCGCTCACCCTTTGGCTCCCTCCCAGCTGGTTCCTCGGGACCTGGAGGGGGCGAAACTCATTGGGAGGTGTATCATACGTTTCGAAGACCAGTCTTGCCGGCGCCAGCTTTGGAGGGGCTTCTTGGAATGCAGACTGGTCCGCGGCGGGTGCGCCTGTCAGCCTTGTCACTTCGCTAGGCTGATCAGTGGCCTGCCTGTCGGACACACAACTTCCTTCTGGCCGGCGAGCTGCTAAGGAACGCTTTCCGAGAACAGCCTGCGCCTCCCTGGGAGGGGAAGGGGTAGTGCGGGTTATAGTAGAGTCTGATCCCTGCTTTTCTACTGTCCCAATGCCACTGTTGGGAGGCGGGGTGATGTAGTGGAAAGGGTCAGGTGAAGAGCGCTGTTCTAGGTATAGCTACACCAACTGGTTTCTGGAGTGACCTTGGGTAAGTTGCTTAACCTCTTGATCATGAATTTTTCCCATTCATAAAATTAGGACACGGGTTGCTGTGATGGGTCAAGTGAAATAGTGTAAGTACACGAGTGCCTTGAAACGTGCTAAGCTTCCGATCATTTCAGGTACTGCATTTGCTGAGGATTGGTTTCTTTTCGCATACATTTTGAGGAGCACCCTGCAAAAATAACTTTATTATATGAGCATTTTATTGTACTATTTTCATCATCACTCTTTGCTTCTAAATTTGTGTAGTTAGAGTCATTGTAACTTTAAGGCAATTAATGCTGTATTTGGGTATATTCCTGAATCGGCCGATTAGTAGTGAGGTCAACTGTATATTTTTTAAAGAAGCCCCAGTTTAAAGAAATTAAGTTCCTGTTCCAGTTAACTGGTATTTATTGGGTTATCAGCAGTGGTAATACTACTGAGTGATCAACATCAATATAGCACCTGTAATCTCTGCACTTGACAGGCGGAGGCAGGAGAATCACTGTGAGTTCTAAGCCAGACTGTGCTACATAGTGATTTCAAAGCCAGTCTGAACTACAAAGGGAAATCGTGTCTCAAAAAACAAAAACAGGTTGTGGGTTTTAGCTCAGCGGCACAACGCCTTCCTGGCAAGCTTGAGGCCCTGGGTTCAATTCCCACTACCAAAACAAAACAAAAACAAATACTAATACACAATATCGGTCCATACGTCTGTATAATATATAGTTCCCTGACCTCAAGGAACTTTCATTCCAAGACCACTTAAGATGGATTAAGTTTAGAATTATTTCAAAATAAAAAGATTTGTAAATGATAATCAGTATACTAAATGATGTTTGCATACTTAAATTCTCAGAGCACCTTGGGAGGATACTAGATACTAGCAGTGAGTTGAAACAAATTCCTACTTTGAGCTGTCACCGTTTGTTTTGGACACAAATTTCGTTGAATATTACTTTGCTTGTGAAATAGTACAGTAATTCAGGTAAAAGCCTAAAAGTTTAGGCATAGTGGTTTCTACCATGGCTGCTCTAAAATAGTGCATATACTCACATGCAATCATTTTAAAAATTAATACTTGAAAAAGTTGAGTCTTTCTCCAAAATTGGAAAAACCATACTACCTACAAATTTAAAATTTATTTATTCTACAAGCAGGTACTGCTGGTCTAGTTATATATTCTAACATCTTAGAGACAGGGTTGAGTTTGGTTTTGTTTCTTGAGACAGGGCTTCACCACGCATTTGGCTGGCCTTGAGCTCCTGCCTCAGCCTTCCAAGTACTGGCATTAAAGGCATTTGCCACCATGCCCTATATTATCACCACTTTTTATTTCATTTTAATACATTGTTTCCTTCCTCCTTAGTTTTTTCTGTGTGTGTGTGTGTGTGTGTGTGTGACAAAATCTTGATTTTCTTTTCTTAACAAAACTCTGATTTAGGAAATAGGTTCCAGATGAGTTTGTAGAAGGTTGAATATAGTAATGAGGAAGTCACATTTTATTTTTGGGAGGCTTTGCTTTTGAGAAGATTAGGTGGTCATTTTGTACGTTTTGTTCCATTGCAGTTGGATTTTGAATCATTTAGTGAAAGAAAAAATTGACATTTGAATGAATCTCTTCATTAAATGAAGTAATACTGATGTAAAAATAGCAAATGCTTTTGAAATATGGTGTAGACCGTTTCAAAACAAAACAGAATCCTGGCCACAGAGTCTTTGTACTTAACTATTACATCTGCTTGGGACTTCTTTTAATACAGTTCCTTCCTGACTTGTTCTCTTTCTTAAATCTCTGTTTAAACATCTCCATAATCCTGAAGAGTTCCCTGACAATCACACACTCCCTGTCTCCACTTGTTTGCACTGATTTATAATATTTTTTTCTTTTTCCCAGTTTTTTGAGACAGGATCTTACTATGTAGTTTAGGCTTCAATCTCAGTTATATTCCTGCCTCAACCTCCCAAGCGCTTGGATTACAGGCATGCACCACCAAGTCTGGCCACTGTGTTTTGGTAGACATTTTCTTTCTTTTTTTAATTAGATTTTATTGACGTTTTAAATGTACATAATGATCACATTCATCAGAGAATTTGTGCCTATACATGATATTACCTGGGGTTTTTTCCTCATTTTCCTACCCTGCCTTTAACCTTCTTCCCCTTCCCATTTATGAGAGTGGTAGATATTTTTAAACTATGTCTGACTTAGTTTTCTGCTGATTTATTCTGTAATATGTTATATAATTCAATACCCTTTTTTACTTTTTGAACCACCATTATAATTTTGGAATGCATTCTGATGTGGTGGTGCACACCTGTAATTCCAGCACCTGGGAGACTAAGGCAGAAGGAGGATCACCATGAGTTTGAGGCCAACCTGGGCTGCATAATGAACTCCAGCCTGAACTATTCAGCAAGACTGTCTTTTTTGCTGGGGAGGTACTGGAATTCAAACTCTCGGCCTCACATTTGCCAGGCAGGTGTCCTGCTGCTGAGCTGTATTCTCAGCCCAAGACTTCGTTTTAAAAAGATTTTAATTTTGTAACTTATTACTGCATCTTATTTGTAAATATCTTCATGTAGTAAACTTTGCTTTTTAATGTAAACAATTAAAAGGTATAAGTGGTTTTGGAAATAACTAAAAGCCCTTTAGATATTGATTTTTTTATTATTATTATTTTTAAGGAAAAGTTCTGTATAAATCCTCTAGGTATCTATAGAGGATTGGTTTCAGGACCCTGGAGGCTACACAGGGCTCTCATATAAAATGGGGTAGTATTTGCATATAACCTAAATATTATCTCCCTATACTTTCCTCTCTTTTTTAATGCTCGAGATGAAACTTGGGGTCTCCTGCTTCATTGTAACACTGTGTTACACCCCCAGCTCCTCTATACTTTGTACAACGTAAATGTCACATGAATAGTTGTGACACTGTATGGTTTAGGAAATAATGGCAATCTGTACATGTTGAATACATATGCACCAGATGCGGGACCCCTTCCCTCCCCTATATTTTCTTTATGCATTTTGTTGAAGATGTGAAATCTCCAGGTGTCACTGTGCTTTTCTAAATAATGAAAATAGAAATGGTATCTAAAATTAGGAAAGTGTTTGGTTTAAGTCTATCTCAGTCTGCTAGCTTAGTGTACATTTCAGCAGAACACTTAGATTGTTAGTAGGTAGGTAGAAATATTGTCAGATGAAAATTGTAGGCATAGTCCCTGTCATATAATAGGCTCCTAATATTTGTTGAATGAAGAAACAACTTGGAAAATAAAATATTGAGAATACTCATTTTTGAAGTTTTAAAATAGATTTGTGTTACAGTGATTTGTCATTTCCTTTAAAGTACTTTGTGGTCTATAACGTGTCATTTGGTATTAACTCAGTGAATTATGAGAGCTTATGTTCTGTTTGGTCTTCAGAATATGAAAACTGTCCTTTCCTACACATAGGTACACACATACTCAGAAATTCTTGTTTATTTTTTTTCCGCCCCACCCCGAAATAATTGTTTATTCATTTGTAAGAGAAGAATAAGACATTTGAGAAGTGTACAGATTACCATGAAACAACCATCCCTTAGCTTGTAAGTGGAAATCTTCCTATATACAAGCCTTCGCTCATACTGCTTAAATATAGTTAAGTTCTCATCTCTTTGTAACTAGAGTTTTCCTTTGCGTGTCTGTTATTAAGCACCAGAATAAGTGTGTGGTATCTTTGTTTTTCTTTTGGAAAGAGAGTCTTGCTATGTAAATACAGGCAGGCCTCCAACTTGAGGTGATATTGTGTCAATCTGCTGCATGCTGGGACTACAGGTCGGGGCCACCAAAACCTAAAATCTCTTTAAGCTGATCAGAAATACCATTTTCTCCAGAAAACTGTACCTATTTTATTTACAGTTTATGTTACCTTTCTTTAATCTTTTGTGATACTGGTGAGCCACATCTTTTCAAAGTCAATCTTATATTCTCTTTTACATTTTTGAGTATTTCAAATAAGTAATTTGAAACTGTTACTGTAAAACTTTTTTGAACTAATTTATCTCTAGTAGAAATAAGATCTTTAGATCAAAATCTATTTTTTCAAAGACCTGGAATTATTAGCTATTAAATCTCTGACTTTGAGTCTGATGTGATAACTGCATCAAAAGTCTTCCTTTTATACTTTAGCTAAGAAAAATGGGCTACATAGAATTTAGAAGGCTTAACCTAGGTGTCATTTGGGGGATGTTACTTATGCCCCCAGGTCCTAAACTTAATGTGCTATGTAGGTTAAAGT